CCAAAACCCCAAAACCCCACATTCTAAGCATATTTGAAGATTGAATGTATAAATTTAGAAATGATAATTAAATCACTAATATAGATAGTAGCAGCTATTTACTTTCATTGATTTGCAGCAGCCTCTTTATCCTTATCAGATCTTATCTTCTTTTTAACAGTGTCCCAATCAAAAGCTATTTCTTTAGAATACTACTTAAACTTCTCAATGTCCTCTTCCTTTTGGTATTGCTATAGGAATCTTTACCTATATGCGATGACTGTGTCAACATGAGATTTATTCTAAAGTGCTACATCAAGGGCTCTTTCCCACCTGAACAATTTGATGTTCATTTTTATAGCTCTGTAATAGAGTCTTGCCTGAAGTAGAATTTATTCAGCCTCTTATATTTTTTTGCAATACAGAGCAAGAGCAGCATTTCTACTTGGCTCTGATGGGAGATCTTTAATGTAATTGATGAATTAAACTTTGTCAGCTTCATCAATAGCAGCAAGGGAGATTTCTACAGTGTTTAGTTCTCTGCAATAGATACTCATTGCAGCTAAACAAGCCCATAGGGTCTGTTCTTTGACAAATCTACACAATCTTATTGCTTTCTCAAAATCAGCTTTGTCGACGTACTCGTAAAGAATCTTTGGGTATGGAGAAATTGAGAGAGTTGCTAGGGATCCATCAAGTCTTCTAACTGAGCAAATGTTTCCATTGAAAGTTAGCATTTGAGCAAGCTTACCAACGTCGGAAGCATCCTTAACTGCCATAGCCTTTGTCATTAGATCTCTATCAACATAAACGGCATTTGGATAGAACCAAGTCAAAAGTTTACCATCAGCAATGCAGGCTAGCATATCATTACCATCATTCCATTAAAAACTGTCTACAATACTTGAGATCTTAATGATTTCAGGCTTGTGAACCATTGTCAAGAACATATCTCTATTGCTGTCGATGAAGGCCATCTTTCTCTCACTAGACATTTCAACTTAGTTGACGTCCATCTCAATTATTTCAGTTGAGTGTTCGATAGTCACGTTTGATGGTCTTCCACTAATGATATCGAAAATTCTTACTACCTTTGGGTTTGAAGGGTCAATCATCGCTAATACATCTGAACTTAAGGAAAGATGTCTAGCATTAAGGAACTCTACTCTAAGACCTTAAAACTTAGGAGTAGATATAAGTTTCCCTTCGTAATTGTAGATAATGAAATTCTAGCTTGCGTCAATCAGGGCAAAGTATTTTGCTCCTTATACTATTAGATAGATACTGTCCTTTACATCAAATACGAATGGTGATGACCAGTTCATAACATTGTAGACGTAGCATTAAGTGGTAGTGCATACAACCAAGTGATTGTGCTTCATACTCATGTTCACAACTCTTTCTCTAAAATCAAGATCTTCATTCATTTCATGCAGGCAATCATTAACTTGAATTTTATTATCTTCATCTAAAACTGCTTCAATATGTGCCCAGGATAGCTGTCTATCTACAATATATCCAAACACTACGGATCCGTTGCCACCTGCCCCTGAAACAACTGTACCATCATGACTCCATGAGAGTTTCATAATTGATCCTGATGTTGGTTTATGGAACGAGTAAGACCATCCTGATTTATCACAAAGTCTAAGCATCTCAAAGCTTCCAACAGCGAAGTAATCACCGTTTGGAGCCCATTTAATGCTAGTAATGACGTGATCGTAAGCAGAAGAGCAGTAGAGCTGTCTTCCGTACTAATCCCAAACACGATATTTGCAATCCTCTCCGCATGAAACGATGATGTTATTGCCAGGGTTCCAATCTACTCCTAATACTACTCCATCATGAGCTTTCCATTAGACTTATTTATTTCCTGGAAGAGTTGGAATGATAGTAAGATTTTTATCGCTAGCATAAAGAATTGAGTCATTCTCTGGACTCCAAATGAGCCCATAAATTGGCTTACTGCTTTGAACAACAGCTGATCTCAGCATACCTCCTCTTGACCAGATCTTAATTTATCCATCTTCTCCTGCGGTGGCAAGAGCAGCACCTTCGTAGCTCCACTTAATAGAAATAATTGCACTTGCGTGAGCTTCTGAAATACTCTTCTCAACACGTCCAGCCTTTGATACTAGCTTGAAACTTCCATCTGCGCATGCGAGAGCTACAACTTCATTGGCTCCTTTTCCTGAAGGAAGCCAGTCCATATCTACAACTGGTACATCGATCTCCATTATTTTAGAATCAAATTCGCCGTTGATATCCCATTTCAGAACGGTCAAATCATCACTAACACTAAAGAGCTCGCCTGAGTTGGACCAGCCTACTGATGAGCAAATATCTGAGTGCTTGCTGCGTTCTAATCTCTTTATCTTAAATCTCATACTATATTGATTGTAATTTGAAAATTTAAATTATTAATATTCTTTCATCTTTAAGCATTATTTTTTCATATCTCGGGGTTTTGGGGTTTTGGGGGGATCGAAAGAGCGTCGTG